TGTGTATGGTATGTGGTAGGTTGGGGAACTCACTAAGCTTCGTGCTTATAGTTTTCAGTTTTTGGTTTCAGGTACTTCCAGTAGCGGAGGGAAGAGCTCGGGATGACTGCATGGCACACACCAAGAAGTTTTAGCCTGGGATGTTTACTCTGATAAAAAGAACATGTTTTGAGATAATACTTTGATTTGATATAATGATTTTTGTTTATGAATGAAATGGTTGATAATTATGGTTTTATTAATGCTTTAAACCGAAATTTTCGGACCGTATTTTTGGGATGTTTCAAGTTGGTATCAGAGCCTTGGTTTGAGGGATTCGGGCTCACTCTCGGGTGTGTCTGAACTCAAACCGAGGACTTGGTATGAAAAATTTCAAAGTAAAATCATTTTATAAAAGAACTTTGAGAAAAGAGATAAGAACTTTGAAAAAGAGAAAAAGGGTGTGGTGCATGCAATCAGCCGAGCTCAAGTAAGTTCTCCCAAATTACCCATACATGTTTGTTTAGATATGATATGCTTATGAAACTGCATGCTAGATTAGGACTAAGGATCTAGGAGGATGCCTTATGTACCTGTTATGTGTATGAGCTTTATGAGTTGCATGCTAGTACAGATTCATGATATGTGATAGAATAGCTTGAGTATGTTCTGGTTAGATTTTCCTTTTTGTCTGGATGCTACTTGCTTTGTGCTTTGTGGGACTCTGAGTGATGGGAGTTAGCCATTAGGTGAATACGTTGAGTCACATGTGATCAGGGTTGAATAATCTAAGAGTGATGGATTTGGCCCTATTGCGCAGCTCTCGTTTGAGTCTAACCGTTGTAGGGACGAGTCCTTTACTCGAAGGATTATCTGAGCCTCGTCACATGTGATGGTATTCAGGTAGTGGCTAATTGGCATTATGAAGACACCTTCAGTAGCTGAGGACTAGGTCGGGTTGGAGGTTACCCTAGGCCAGGCCTAGGATGAGAGTAGTGCTGGGAGCATTAGTAGTAGTAAGGGACTTGGTGGAGTCGAGGCAATTCTCGAGGAAAGTACAGATAGATGTGGAAGGTAGTATGGGCCCATACTACTGAAAGCAGAGGATCCGTACTCGATTCAAGAAGGGCTAAGATGAAACTGGGGAACTTGTAGTGTGTGTGTTATCCCTCAGTAGTGATAAGTATTCTGATGATAGTTATGTTATGTTGCAGAATGGTGACGTTGCGTGAGAGACCGGTGGGCGGTTCAAGCGCCGTCGAGGGATCAGGCTCGGGTTCAGGAGCCGAGCTGCTCGGGGAGCAGATGAGAGAGTTTTTATCAGCTGAGATTATGCGCAGTATTCTAGACCAGACTCATGTGATATTTGGTACGATCAAGGAGGGTATAATGGAGATTTTGGATGAGAGGTTGGGAGCCTTCCTGTTAGGTGCATATTATGCACCATTTTGTAGTTTTACTCCATAAAAGTGCATTGCATTTAGGTTTAAACTCATGCATTTTGCATATTTTTCGGGATTTTTCATGATGCAATTCCATTCACATACTTTTGTGATGTTTCAGGGACTTTTGAAAGTAGGATCTTAGTTCATGTGATGAATAAGAGATTTGGATGAAGTTTCGAGACTTGTGGAGCATCGAGGAGGAAGATATCAGAGAAATGAAAATTTTGGCTTTTCAGAGGTTTACACGGCCGTGTAAATGTTTACACGGGCCGTGTAAACGAAGTCTCTCGAGCATTGTACTTTGAAAGCCTGGCCAATTTTTGCAGTGTACTTTTTTCATTTACACAGTCGTGTAAATGTTTACACGACTGTGTAAACGTGGTCACGAGTTTAAAATAGTTTTTCTTCTTTCTAAAAAGGACCAACCGGTTCCAGAAAAAGGGGGGTCGATTTTGTGAGATCTAGAGGCGATTTTGGGGAGCTATTTGAAGGCAATTGTTGCTTGAAAACACTTGCACTACAAGAAAAATACCCTTTAATGAAGCGCAAACAATGACACTCGCAGATTTACGATACGCATTTTTGTGTGTCCTTAAAAATAATGTCGGGTTTACAAAAATTGAAGGATAGAGGACACGCATTTTTGCGTGCCCTTAAATTAGTGTCTCAAGAAAAAAAATTTAAAAACACAGAGGGCACCTATCAAAAAAAGCGCGTCCTCTAAAGGTGTCGTTTTATATTTTTTAGGGAGGCGCGCTCGTTTTATATTTTTTTAGGAAGGCGCACGTTCTCCATTTTTTTTAATAGCCTATGGGGGGAAATGAAATACCAAAAAATTAAACACCTATCTCCTTCTTCTCCTTCTACAATCCTCTACCAATGAACCCTAATAGAATTGTGAGGCTATCAATCCTTTTGAAGCAGCCCGTCTTCCTCTACCTCTACACTCTCTATCCCTTCCCTTTGGAAGCCCTAACCGCTACCACCAGCATCGAGCCCGTCATCTCTAAGAGTTCGGAGTGTGGAAGGAAGTTGGATTGACTCCGAACTTCACTGGATTGACTCTGTACTTTACTGGGCTAACTTCGAAAACACAACTGCGCCAGAGATTCTCCGCAACCGCCACTCCGACAACATCAACTTCGGAAAACGGAAGTCCGACTACGTCCAATGCCTCACCACGCCAACAATATTTTCAAAATCCAATATTCCATCGGGTGGAGCGACCCTGATCTCGCACTTGAAAGAAACTACTTGAATCAAACAAGGGTTATGTACAATTTCATGACACCATTCGTATCAAAGAATCCAAGAGGTGCGTTCTTGAACTACAGAGATCTTGACATCGGCGTGATGACCGGAGACAATTACAGTGAAGGTAAAGTTTACGGGCAGTATCATCGGACAGGTTGCAACTACTCTTCCCCTCTATTTCTCTCTTTCTCTCTCATCTCTCATCTCTCTCGCTCTAATAAGCTCCCCTGTTTTCAGCTTAATTTTGATTGTTGTCCTGAGGTTCACAGTGAGTTTATTCCTTTGATTAGTTCTGAGAATGCTTCGATTTTTTCTGCTGTTTATATCTATAGTTTTACCAAAAGATTTGAAGTTAGTTTTAGTTGTTTATCTGTGTAATCTTGGCTGATCAGATATGGCTAAAATAGAGATGTTGAATTGAAATATATATGCTTTGATTAACCTTAAAGTCTGAGCTCCATTGTTCTTATTAGCACTGTAGTTCGAGTTCCAATCCGTGCTAAAAAGAACATATACCTTTGTGAGGCCATACATGTTAACAACTTATTAGTTGAAGATGCAAAACATTGGTTCTGTTATATTAGGATCTGGTCATATTTTTCTTGAAACTAAATATTTTTCTTGAAAGTTAACTTGTTTGTTAATGTATGCAGAAGAAAAAGCGTCCAAAAAGTGATCTTGAAACTAATGGTAATGATTATTTATCCTAATTTTAATCACAACAATCGAAAAGCACAATTATACACTTATGAGTTTAACAACCTAATTAAATTTCCTTTCTGTGTCTAACTTTTATCATTTCCATTATGTGTTTTTCCCTATGGTTTTATCATTACACGTAGCCACTGCAAACTGCTATCATTCTTCTATAGTGTTTGGCAATGTAAATTCTATGCATCAGGTTATTATAGGAAAGGGTATTGTGGGCAAACTAAACAAATAAAGAGCATCTTTTAGTGCAGGGGCATTTTGGGCATTTATGTTAATGTAGTGGTTATATAGGAGTAGAGAGAATGAGTGGAAGGCATCTTTTCATTTGTGTGAAAACTGGAAATTATTCCTTTGGGAGAGGCTAGGCTCTCAATTCTCTAAGGTTGTTGTTCATTTTGAGTGATTAATGAATATAGTGAAGCTTGTGTTCTTATTTTCTGATTCATATTATTAGTCAGTTGATAGCAGATGAGAGATGAAAAGTTAAATAATATTTTTGTGATTTTCGATCCACAGAGAGCACGAGTTGAAATTGATATATAATGTTTCCATTTGGTTTCAAGGTTGCTGAATTCAATGTTGAAGCTACATAACAAGGGATGGTTTACATTGATGAAGTTGATAAGATAACCAAAAAGGTTTTAACCAATTTACTTTATTGTGATCCTGAATTTTTTGAGATGTGAAAGAGTTTTGATTTTGCTATAAATATAATTTGACAGGCTAAGAGCTTAAACATTAGCAGAGATATCTCTGGTGAGGGAGTCCAACAAGCTCTACTTAAGATGCTGGAAGGAACTGTAAGCCATTATTATTATTAGCAGAGAGGTGATAACATTCAGGTACAGTAAAGGCACATGATTCTTATGATGTACTTGTTTTGATTTCCTATTATATATAGCCCTCCATGTGCATGCCTACTTTTGGCAACAACAAAATGAGGTACATAAATAGCTATTAGTCAAATGTCTAAAATGCCCCTGACTTCTCATTTTTCTATGTAACCAGAGTCAATTGAGAGCTTATCAAACAAGTCAAATGCATCTAGTGAAGGGGTGGGTATTTTCACACTCCTTGGATTCAGAAGATATCGATCTCAGTTCTATAAAACTCCGTAGGTGTGTTACGTTTCTTTTCTTAATGTTTTACCGGTCAAATTGGTTTTCTATATTTTTATCTTTTTATATTTTTTATTTCGAGTGGTTCCTTGGGGAATGCTGGGATGACTGGTGGAATTGGTCCACATAATTTTTGCATGTCTTTTCTTTTAAGCCTTTTCATTCCCTTCATCATGTTTTGATACATGTTTATGTATCTGCAGGTGATATATTCACATAAAGAGTTGTAAAGAGTTATATTTTAGCATCAACATATGAGGTGTAAGGCTTTTGTACATAAAGAGTTATATTTTAGAATCTTAATGTCTTACTTTTGAAAACGAATCGGGTTTATGATTCTCCTTGATTTTATTAATCCCAACAAACCATGTTTTTTTAATCAAGTTAACAACTTTATAAAATATTTTAATTTTTAGACTTTGAGGACAATGACAGTTGTTGAATGCAGGTGATCGATACACCTGGGATTATTTGTTCATGATTTAACTGGACAATGTGGGATATCTCCTTCAGATCAGGTATGATACTATAGTCATGAAATGGAAATTGCTACAGCGTAAAATTTATAATATTTCTTATAGTTTTGGATGTTATATGTAATTTTTATTTAAATAGTCATGTGGTGCCTAATTCAACATGAACATTTACCTGATCTGGATGGAGTTTCTGATCAATTAAGTGGTAACTTCATCTTCTTATGATTCTACTTGTAGCTTCAACCTTCAAGTATGTTAACTAGGTTTTAATTCTTTCTCTTTCTTGTGCTTTTATGGTGGCAGCTACTACTTTTGATTGGATCATCATCACTTCACCTGAAGCAGCCCTCGTCTTTGTTGATGCCTGGAAGTATGCACACAACTTTCCTCCATATAATAATAAGCTACATTTCCTTCTATATAACTTTTTAATCAATTTTTTAAGGCGCAAATATACAATGTTATAACTTTCTCTCTATATAATGTCTAATCATTTGTTTTTGTTTTTGTTTTTTTTTTTCAGTCAACTGTTAACTAAGTAATTGGAGGTAATGAAAAATTATAACCTTGGATGATTTGCAAATTATCAAATTTTGATTTATTAATACACAGGTAAATGAGGTGAAAGGAGAGGATGTTATTTGTTTGATAAAGAATTCTGCTACTCTTTCTGGTTCGTTATTCACCTTGCATGTATCCCAAATATGTATTGAGCTGCCAACTCTCACTGATAAAGATAAGGAGGTGAAGTTTCTCTTTTGTGATTCCATTAGATGTTTCTTATCGTATACTCATTTAAGTTGTAAGATTTATGGAAAATTGTAGGTTATTAGCACATTGGGAGTGCGTAACAAGATTTTTGCAAAGATAGAAAATTGTGAGGTCGGATGCCCACATTTTTCAAGTTGTATGTAATCAAATTGTCTCTTGTGTCACATTGGGGAGATTACTTTAATGTCACATTGAAATTTCATCGAATAGTATAGCGATAAATAGAAGAAATAGCAATATACTTTCATCTATTATTTGTATGACATTAAATTTTATGCAATGAATTTTATTTTTTGTATATGGTATTTTATATTCTATTATGAGACATTAAATGCAAATTTAATTTGAAAATTAGAATATCTATAAATAATATTTTTTTTAAACATTTAAAATTACGATACGCAAAAATGTGTGTCATCTTCATTTATGACATGGCCTTTCTTAACAGGGGCTTTAATGATACGCAATATGAGTCGTAAATGCGCGTCGTAAATAGACGACGCGCAAAAGCGTGTCGTCTCTCGTTATGACAGGGCCTTTCTTTGATACGCATTTGCGCGTCGTCTGAGCGTTTTATGACACGCATTGCGCGTCGTAAAAGGCTGTTTTTCTAGTAGTGTTGGGAACATTTGATTTCATTTTGTAAGAACTTTAATTTGATTTTATAGATTTGTGATCTTGTTCTAGTCATGAGTGGCTAGAACCCTAGATTCTCCAACTTTATGTCTTGATTTTTAGTTGTGATTTCAATCATATGACTTGATGTTTGCTTTCAATTTTCTATCTAGTGAATTTGATTTTGTTTCAAATGAATGTTTGATTCTAATTGTGATTCTTATTGGCCATTTGAATTAGGGTTAGATCATTCAAGTTACCTAATTACAAAATCTGTAATTGTTTTGTAAATTGGACTAGGTAACAAGCACTAAATTGATTATTTTGGTTAATCAATGTGGTGAATGGGAAGTGCTAGAGCTTGTTAGCATTTCCAAGTACCAACCTAGATAGAATTGGGCAAATATCATGTCATCTTGGAATCGCATTGCTAAGTTGTCATACATAGAGTTAGAGTCCTTACAAATTCTGAATTTAATTCACTTATTTAGTTGATTACTTGTGTTTTTAATTGTTTGTTTTAATCATTGCATTCTAAACCCCCCCCCCCCATAGTACCTTGCGCAAAAAGGGTATAAGCACTTGTCTCGTGTCTCTGTGGATCGACCCTACTTACCTTGTATTACATTTTTAGTGCAAAGTAGTAATGTTTTTGGAGTCATTTGTACCCCTTTATTTGTTGGGCTTGACACGCCTAACACTTCCGCGCGGAGATGGTGGCCATGATGGGGGCGCGTACACTGACATTCCGAGAGTTCAGAGCTTGTGGAGCTCCAGATTACCATGGGGCCAGGGACCCCATTGCTAGCAGTAGATGGTTGGCAGATGTCGCCAACTCTTTTCGCACTTGCCGGTGTCCCGAGGGGGACAAGGTCCGACTCGCCTCCTGTCTCCTGAAGGACAGAACGCATGATTGGTGGGAGGAGGTTGGGCATGCTATTGGAGACGATGTCGCGTTGGACGCGATGACATGGAATGACTTCTCGGCTAGGTTCAGGGCCGAGTTTGCACCAGTTATTGAGGTGCAGTAGTTAGCACGGGAGTTCCAGGACCTCCATAAGACTACTGAGACAGTGGCGGAGATCACCGCCAAGTTCAGAGAGAGAGCCCTTCTGGTTCCGCAGTATGTGGCGGATGAGGAGGTGAAGAAGGCTCGGTACCATGAGATGCTGAGGAGCGACATCAGGCAGTTTGTGAGCCGGTCCAGCTGCAAGACGCTGAAGGATATGATTGCTCGAGCCAGGGAGAGGGAGATTGACTTAGAGGCAGACAGGAAGAGGAAACCAGTCGAGGTGCAGACATCTGCGGGGTCGGGAAAGAGGCCCAAGACATCAGATTATAGATCGAGAGGTTATCAGGACCGTAGCCGCTATGGGAAGTGCGGCAGGATGCACGAGGGTGCATGTAGGAGTGGCAGTGGTGGTGATTCTGGCTGTTTCAGGTGCGGCCAGATCGGTCATTATAGCAGGGATTGTACTGCTACCACCACCCAGGGATCAGACCTGATCTGTTTCCATTGCAGTCAGCGGGGCCACAAGAAGGCCCAGTGTCCGAGTTTGGGTACTGCGGGACAGGTGATAACACCTGCCCCTACGACTTTGAGGATCACCGACGGCCGTCAGGGCTGGGCGAAGGCGCCCGCGGCGAAGAGCAGGGCATTCCAGCTAGTTACAGAGGAGACGTGAGCAGCCCTTGATATGGCAGGTGCATATCTTTCCCTTTTCCTATCAGCTTTTATTTATGATTTTATTTGCTATGGTACTGCATCGATGTTAGTAAGTGTATTTCAGAATATTATATTACCTGCTTATGATAAAGTTATATGCCATCTACATACCATGGATGTTAGTGTAGTAGTTCGAAGATGTTTCCCTTAGGGCAAGTTCTCAGGATGCGGTCACTGCAGCAAGTGTGAGTAGGGCTCGAGAGGTGTTCTGTTAGTCCTTCAGAGTGGTTCAGATTCGGTATTGGTTAGTTTTGGAACACTAACAGTGGGAAGTGATGGTTATCAGTAGATCGACCATTAGATGGAGAGAAGGATTGAAAATCCTTTCCAAGCTGGGAGTTGTAGGGATCTAGTTGAATCGAAGTGGGGGAGAACTATCCCAGTGGACAGGAGCGGGAGTAAGTGAAAAATGGGATTGAGTTCGCAACTTTGTTGGGAAGGAAAACAGCCCAAGTGGTTGTATGGATAGAGGAGCGCGCAAGTTTGGAATTTAGGAAACTTTCCAACATTGAGTTCGTGTATTCATGGCAGTTGATAACTGGTTGGGAACGAGGTTGAGGATCTTCATGGCAGGATGCGAGTTTAGTCAGGATGTAAGACTACGAGATAGTCGTAGCTTTCACCAGCAGTTAGACAGTGTGGGGTGTGTTGTAAGACTATGGGTAAGCTGTAGCATCCATTAGCAGTCTAGTTAGAGGAGTGTGGGCGAGGGTCCGTATCTCCTAGTTAGCATGGTAGAAATCAGGAAGGGATAGCAAGCTGAGATTTGAGGCGGAGTGGGCCTGCATAGCCCTAGATAGGTGAGACCTGTGGGAGAGGCCGCTCTGAAATATAGTTTGGGTGAGACCCGTGGGCGAGGCCCGTGTGATTATAGCAGCGCAGGTGGGACCTGGTAGAGACTTTAAGAGTCAAGTTAGAGGATCGAGGATCCCATGACTTAGGGAGCTAGAGTGGCAAGATAGATATAGAGCAGTTTTAGATAGCCGAAGTTTCTTTGGAAGTCGCTGAGAGCGACTAAGAGTTTGAGCTTGGGTTTAGTAACCGGTGGGAGTCCGGTATCCCGGATAATGGCAGTTTAGTCAGACCAGGGTGGTCTCGGTTCATCCGAAAAGCGGATAGGAGACAGCAGGATTGAATAATCTCAGATTGAGTGATTTGACCTTGTTGCGCAGCTCTCGTTTGAGTCTAACCGTTACAGGGATGAATCTTTTACTCGAAAGATTATCCGATCCATTCGTTGGGCTGGGTGTTCAGCACCAGGATATAGTAAGAGAAAGCATTCATTGAGTATCAGTGAAGTGACCAGCACTGGGAGTGACTGTAGATTTGGTACAGCGTGGGGTTGTCCCATACAGAGATAAAGAAGGTTGTTGTTTATGGAAAGTTGCCTTGGGAAGGCCAGTTATCGCGCAGGAAAAGAAAGGGTGAATCCCTAGGATGTTCAGCAGGAGTACTCGGGGAGTACCGGAAGGAGTACCGATTGGGTAAGAGCGATGTACTACAGGGTTCTAGCGATTGGATGGTTCTCCAGAGGATGACCTTGAGGGTTGGCATTGTGCTCATGAGAGATCGGACGGTAGACAATGGAAGTGGTCCTCCGAGGATTGTACCGAGCGGGCGAAGTATGCATCGTATAGGAATGCTGTGAAGAGTTGCGGGGTGGTTGACCATAGTGGACTTCGAGGACGAAGTCTAGTTTAAGCGTGGGAGAGTTGTAACACCCGGAATCTAGAAGAGCAATGAAGGAAGGAAAAACCCTAAATGATGAAGTCAACTCGTCGAGTCCATGGAAGAACTTGGCGAGTCGGAGAAGTTTCTGAGTCGCGAGATTAAGTGACCGACTCGGCGAGTCGGGAGACCAACTCGACGAGTTGGTCAGGGTTTGGGAAACCCTAAATTCGGGACTTGGTACCCTATTTAAGCATCTTATTCTCCTCCTCTTGGTTCCATTCCCAGCCCCCATTGTCCAGAGCATACCCCACGAAACCCTAAGGCCTTTTGAGAGTGTATGAGCCATCCTAGAGTGCTTTATGTGTTCTTGAAGACTAGAGGAAGAAAAATGAGCTTGAAGGATCAAGGAGAAGGTTGTAGATTCAAGGATTTCGTTCTAATCTCATCACTTTCTGGTAATCAAGCTCTTAACTTGCCTTGTAGATTCTTAGATCTCTTCATGGTTCCTTTTATGGAGTTTTTGTCCAAGAAGTATGATTCATGGGTTATGGGTGTCCCAAGTTCATGATACCATCAGATCTGAGGTCATTGAGAGTTGTGAAGGCATAAAGGTGCAAACTTTATGCCATTAGAGTCCCATACAAACCCTAAGGAGGCTAGTATGGCCATTGGTGTCCCAAAGGGCCATGCATGGAAGTAAAGTTTAGGACTTTACGTGGTTATTGGATGATTAGAGCCTAGATCTTGGTCTCCCTGTTTTGCATTGGAGTAATAAGGGTTTTTGGACATAGGGTTATGTCTTAATGAGTTAGGGTTTTGTCTAAACCCATTAAGAAGGACTTGGGATGGGTAAAGTTGGAAACTTTACCATTAAGAGGTCATTTCTAGCATGTAGGCAAAGTTTGGGACTTAGATCTGGAGTGTAAAGGCTTAATCCATTAAGATAGCCCAACATACTGAGGGACTCGGCGAGTCCAGGGAGGGACTCGACGAGTCGAAGCGAGTTGTCCCATTTCTGTTTATGCGAGAACTCGACGAGTCTAAGGACTGACTCAACGAGTAGATTCGATAAATCGCGACCAGGGGTAGCCAGGGAACTCGCCGAGTCAGGGGCTGACTCGACGAGTTGGTT